AAAAAAAAAAAAGAAAAAGAAAAAAACATTCTCTTTCTTTTTACCACTCTGCATGATTTACCGCGTTTCAACGCCTCGATCCAAGAAGAAAGGCCACTTCCGTCAAACGTTGCACACATAGAACCTCAAGCACCCGCTCCCAAGATTCCCACTGCTTCTTATTCACCCTTCAAAATGCGTTCGCTGTCGATTGACAAACGTTCGATCACAAGGAAAGACCAAGAGTACCAGCCTGAAAAGCGACTCCCTCGCCGGGAGTGGAGTAGCGACCATCAATCTGACCAGATCGACGCCGTTACTCTTCCCTTTCCAACGAACAAACGAAATCCAGGAAAATGTTATTCTGGTTGAGAGACCTCCGTTGACCGGGGGTCGTACTCGCGACAACCACACAGCAACGACAGAGACAGAAGAAGTAAGCAAAAGCAGCAGCAGCAGCAGTGACGGCAGCACCGGCAGCAATTTCACCTTTGCCACGGTCAGAAAAAACGAAGAAGACGAAGAAAGGGCCCGCAGGTAGAAAGAAGGTTGCGCGCGCGCGGTCGGTTGAACCGTGAAGGAGAAGAGCGCCAGACGAGAGAATCAGAGAAGAAGACGAAGAGGGGAGGGGAAGATGTTCGAGAGCACGATCTGCGCGTGGCCTCGACGTCGTTTCCTGCCCTGATTGGACGTTGGCTCGTGGCCGGCGCTCGCCATTCACCGGAAACCCAGCAGCGCTGTTCCAACGTTCGCGTGCACCTTTCGCCTCTCCCTTTCTCACCTGTTCTTTACCTGCTCCCGACCATTCTCTCCCTTTCTCTCTCCCCCCCCCCTTCTTCGTCAGGCCCCTTTCTTCTCCGGGCATCATCGTCGGTTAAGACCCTTCTTTTTCTTCGTTTCGATCCGCTCGCGTAGTCTCTCCTCGTCCGTTTCGCCGATACAGAGAGAAAGAGAGAGAGCAATCGAGAACGGGAACCTGTTCAACCGGTTCCGTAGGTGCTACCTGCGTCTCGAGCCATCCACCAGAACAGGCCACCAAACCACGGCCTCTCCTCAACCGTAATTGTAACAACGTGTTCGAGGGATCTGAATCTCCGAGATTCAACCCAGTTTCGAGTCTCAGCCTCGATAAAATGATTCTATTCCGTCCGTTTATGGCGGCGTTTCCTACGAACGTCGATGAATATATATATACGGATCAGAGACTTTTTCGAACGAGTTTCAAGCGTTTTCCACTTGAACGTCGAACGCGCCAAATTTCTAAATTAGCACGAATAGTGCAAAGAATAAAAGAAGATAGAGGTTTTAAAGAACAAAATCAACTAACAGTTGCGGTAAAATATTTCTAGAAAACACACATGTCTCGACGATTTTTCAACTGGATGGAATCAGGTTCCTGTTCCTTCTTTTTTTTTTTTTTTTTTTTTTTTTTCTTCTATTATAGGCAAATGCAAGATTTGAAAATCACGTGCAGAAATATGCTTGCCCGTACAAATGCGCGCTTATAGGATAATCGCCTCTTCAACTAGCTCAGAAAGTTAGACTGTAAGTTGGACTCGCCGTTCGATCCAAACGCCGGAATATCGCGAGAAACTATCCGAAGTGGATTTTTGCTCTAGCTGCTCGGGCGGAAGCAGTACATTCAGATAATTAGAGATGGATGAAGTGAGGTCGATGATTGGAGGAGGATTCGAGTCACGATTAGGACGAGCGTAATTGGTTCCTGCCGCGACTGATCCTGATTGATCGCTGACTGGCAGTCTGCTGCTCTAATAGGTACGAAGAACACGCTACGATCTGACTACCGACCAACTTCTTCGACCCGCACGTGTCCTCGAATGTTATCCAAGTATGGACTGAACTATTCTTAAAGAGTCAGAGCCTTTCATTTTCTAACTGGATCATCCGCTCGCTGCAGACATCGTGAGCAATTTTTTAACCTTCTCTTCGTACTTGGAAATCTTCAGCTACTGGGAATCGACGAGATTCAAATTCCAAGATCTCTCAACATATTTATCTGCGTATAAAATCTAGGTCTTCAAGCTCTTTGTATTTTGTACGCATTTTTTCAATATTTTTATATTCTTCGTAAATTTCTTTTATTTTGTAAATTTGAGAAAATCGCGAAGAGATTGTTATTATTAGTGCGCGTGATTTCCCAACGTTTCAGTCTCACGCTACGAATTTTCTTCAAATGCCCACGAAAAGATGAACGAGACATAAAAAAAACTCGAAGATCGTGACAGACTTTTAACTAGCCACGACATTCATTATCCCCCTCTCCCAGTTCTTCCACTTTGAAATCATTCCTTCTCCACTTAAACAACGACTTTGTTAAAAAAAAAGAAAAAAAAACAAAAGAAAGAAAGAAAGAAAACGATCACAAAGATCCCATCGTGTTCCAAACGGAGAGAGAAACAATTGAAATATTTTTTTGATATTCCCTACTTCTCCGCTCCGCTCTTCCTTGGATTTAGACGTTCACGTCGATGACACTCTTTATTAATATCCTCGCCCTTTAAAAAGATAATGGATTACACGGGATGGAAACGGAGCGAGCAACGAAGAAATACGCCTTTGACTTTCAGACGGGATTTAGATAAAGAAGCATGGTAATTCGGAGCGAACGTAGCCAGGAAACAACA